CATCATGCTTGGGAGAGTGGAGGGACAGTGCAGGAGAGGAAGGCCCTCTATGAGGTGGATTGATTCAGTGACTGGGATAATTGGGATGGGAGTGTCAAAGACAGTGCGATTGGCACAGGACAGAGTGGAGTTTAGGGCTGTTGTACATAGGGTCGCTATGAATCGCAGGCGACTCGACAGCACATAACAACAACAACAACAGTGCATATTTGATTTAACACTGGGAAAGCTGGTAGAAATCTTCAATTTCCTCTTCTTTGCCTTTAGTTGTTTGTGTCTGTATTTTAAAAAAATATTATATATTTGTTTGCATACAAAATTTGTATATTCTATTTTTCATTCATCTATACTGATGTTGGAGAAGAGCATTAGGTGTACCATGGACTGGGAAGAAAACAAACAGATTCATCCTGGAGAGGGTTAAACTGGCCTGCTCCTTGGAGGCAAGGATTTTGAGGCTTCATCTGACATACTTTGGTCAGGTTGTAAGGAGACACCGGTCCTGGGAGAAGGACATCATGCTTGGGAGTGTAGAGGGCAGGCACAGGAGGGGAAGGCCCTCTAGGAGATGGATTGATTCAGTGACTGGGGTAATCGGGATGGGTGTGTTGGAGACAGTGAAATTCGCACAGGACAGGGCAGAGTTTAGGGCTGTTGTACACAGGGTTGCTATAAGTTGCAAGAGACTCGATGGCACATAACAACAACAACAACAACAACATATATTGGGTTTGGCACATTCTTTCACGCACATTATTCATCACCATTGATGAAACATCCAATATTTTACTGAGAAACTGAGCATGCTAATGATTTGCACCACCTAGGAACTCTACCTTGAAAAATTCCGCAATAAGAAAAAAATCTTCACCACTGGAGCATAAGCAACAGCAAAATATATGGAGGGAAGATTCACATTATCAACAATTTCATCTTGTTTGAATCCTCAATCAAGATTGAATCCCTTGACACTAGCACTTAAGAAATTAAAAATTTAAAAAAAAGATGTATTGGGTAAATGTGCTTTCAAAGACCTCTCCAAAGTGCTTGGAGACAATAATGTTAAAGCCTAAGATGCACCTAATTCAAGCTATAGTCTTTGCGATTACTTGTTAAGCACCTGAAAGTTGAACAATGACCAAGAATGACAGAACAAGAATCAATGCCTTTGAGTTGTAATGTTGGATGTTCTCATCAGTACATGACTACCAAAAGAATAAACAAATATGTCTTGGGGAAAGTATGAGCACGATGCACTTGAAATTCAAGGACTGTGAAACTTCTTCTCACATACTTTGTGCATGCTGTTAGAAAGAGCCAGTCCTTGGCAAAAGACATGCTCCGAAAGGTAAACAGGGAAAAATAGGATGATGCAGTGACTGTAACAGTGAGCTGGAGTATATCAGAGATTGTGAGGATAATGCAGGAGAGAGTAAGTTTCAGATTTGTTATTCATAAGGTAGTTATGAGTTGTAGTGAATGGATTATGCAATAACAACAATAACAAAATCATCTGTAAACTTGACAAGGCCATAATGTTGTATCTCACCATAATGTTATCTAATTCCTAATCTCTATAATAATTTTAGAAGACAGGATTAGAGACACATGAATAATTATGTAGCCATTCCGTGATGTAATTTGAGAGCCCAGTGGCAAGAAGCTGCCTTGCAATCCTGAAGGCATGCAGTTCGAATCTGAACAGCTGCTTTGTAGAAGAAGCATAGGAATTCTGCCGTGGGATTCTGCCCATGAAAATTCGACAGAGGGTCAGCTATGGGTCAGTTTGACTTGATGGTACACAGCAGAATAATAATCAATTGTAAGGGAACTTTGACGGCCTAACGTTAAGAAGCTGCATTGCAATCCCAAAGGCAAACTGTTCAAAACTGCCAACTGCTTCTCAGAAGGAGGCTGGGAAATATCCTCCCTTGGATTAACTGCCTTCGAAAATCCACCAGAGAGTCAGCTGTGGGTCAGTTCCAATACAAAAGTACACAACAACAGACATTTGTAAGGGGATTATGGTGAGACATCACAATCCTGATATGATAAAAGAATAAATTCCCTAGAGTGTGACCTACAATATCTTTTATCTGAATAGAATAA